GGGACAAGGTCAGAGAGACCAGATTGAGATGGTTTGGACATGTGCAGAGGAGGGATAGTGGTTATAGTGGTAGAAGGATGTTGGAGATGGAGCTGCCAGGCAAAAGGTCAAGAGGAAGGCCAAAGAGGAGATATATGGATGTGCTAAAAGAGGACATGAAGTTAACTGGGGTGAGAGTAGAGGATGCTGAGGACAGAGTTAGGTGGAAACAGATGATTCGCTGTGGTGACCCCTAATGGGAACAGCCGAAAGAAGAAGAAGAAGAAGAAGAAGATTATAAATGAAGAAAGTAAAACAGAGGAAAATATTTGATAAAACCTTAAAAATCTATTAAAACAAAACAATTATAAAAAATAAAACAAAAAGTATGACAAGAAAAAAACTGAAAAATATAACTAAATAAAAAGAAAACGAAAATAAAAAAAAGAAAATGAAATAAAAAGAAAGAAAATAAGGAACATTTTAAAATGTAACCAAAACTTTAAAAATAAAATGACTCAAAGCATATTCCCCAGAATCCAGGGTCCCCTTGTTATTACACCACCTTATCTGAATCCGGCTTTTTTCCATGAAGTTGTAGGCATACGGTACCACAGATCAACTGTTAAACAGGTTATTAAGGTTAATTAAAGTTCATCAGAATCCAAAGCTTTCTGAGAAGAACTTCACCCACTGTCAAGGTGCACAAACACAGAAAAAACAAACTGGAAAGCAAAAAGTCTGGCAACACTTGTGGTGTTCTGAGCAACTTTAATGCAAAGATAAAAGACCAATGCATTGTGGGATAAAGCCTTCATCAGGGTCTCTTGCTGTGTTAAGTACAAAGTAAGGCTTATGTCACATTCAGTAACTTAGCATTGTCTGCACAAACTCCAACTGGTCAAAGTCTTAAAATACAACCTGCATGAAAAACATTCAATGTAGAGAAATAAAACTTGTTAACAAAGGTAACAAATGTAGATGCTACTGCAGAACACAAGGTGTCAGGCAGGTGAAGCAAACATAGATGCAGTTATGAGAATAGTGATTTACCCTGTGTCTATGCTCTATAATAACATCCCCTGACTTCCTGCAGGGCGCTGTCACTTAAACACAAGGTCCACCATCTCTCTGGTCTGTCCAGGGATACTGCTGGGGACAAGAGGGTCGAGACAGCTGGGCAGGCGGCCCTCCCAGCACCACATCACCACAGCCACCACTGAGAGCATGAAAATGCAAGGAGAACAAATGCTCAAAGTGACTGTTGTTGGCCACACTGGTTCAGGCTGGCCAATATTCAAGATCCAGGCATCATCAGCCTTGACCTGCTGGCAGAGTGGGGGCTATGGTGGATGTGCCTATGGCTTCACTCTGCCTAGGTGTGGAAGCCATGGCTCTCCACACTGCCGGCAGGGAAGGGCTGTGGCCCAACACAACACTGGCAAGCCGGCAATGGCTCATACAAGAGGAGCTAGAGAGGGAAGAAGTGCCGGGGTGGCCAGCACACTGAGGGCCGGGAGGGCCTTGGTTCCAATATGAAAGAACATGGTTCTTCACACTTATGTTCATACTAAGGTGACATCATAAAAATAGTACATATGTTCATGATTTGTCTAAATTATTCATGCAAATTATAGAATGACAACAGCAACACATTTTGGACAAACAGAAAGTCTTTTACAGAATTCAAGTACCACACCACTAAAGCTCCTGTTTTTTGGGGATGGTATCCCCTCTCTTAGTCTTCTTCTCGTCCTTGTGGAACACCTTTCCGTCTGACTGCTTCCTCCAGCTCAGTCTGATGCCTTCATTCACTCCACTGTCCTTCAACCTCTGTTGGAGCTGTGGTACAAAAACATTTCCTTTCCTGAGCACCACTCACAGCGAAAAACATTACACCTTGTAATCTTTCTATTTCCCTCATCTGGAAGCTCCAGTTCACACCCAGCTTCACACTTTATGTTCATCTTCCCAGTTCAACTACAGCTCAACAAATGATGCTAAGCTGTGACCTAACATTCAAACCAGGGGTGTGTGATCTAAGCTTCAAACAATGTAAAGAGGAAGGTACAGTATCACTGAAGCATAACTAAACATGGAGAATGCATAAGCTGTGAAGTATGACGGAGCTGCTTTCACCAACATGCACTCTGACCATGGCTGAGATACAGTATATACTGTAAATACTGTAATAGGCCGACATTTATTGGTTGCACGTCACTATTCAGCTCTTGGCTAACTTTAGTAGGACTACACTGCTATGAATTCTGGGTAAATTAAGACGTTTTGCAAACTAAAGGAACATGGCAGACCAGTCAGCTCTGTTCACTCAGCTTCTTACTGGAAGAACTGAACAGTTTAAATGATGTTACTGAAAAGATTTCGTGAAGAATGTAACAAAACAATTTTAAAAACTCTAAAAACTCTTCATCTTCTCACTGCTTGTTCCACAGTAGGCTACTCTCAGCAGACCACAAATGCTGAGCCGTGTTTGTCCAGTTTTTGTCAGCTGGTGTCACTCATTGCTACATGGTCTTGGTTCTAAGTTAACCTGAGTGTAGAGTGGCTAGCTTTTTAACAAGTCCCTCTTGATCTGAGAATAAAATTTAAACAGTCTAACACTGTTAGAAAATAATATGGAATAAGTGGATGAGTAACCTCAGTAACTAGAGCATATATTCGGTGTTATATTGGATGTCCAGTAATAATGTTTCCAAAACTGAAAACTAAAGTATAAGACAATATTCAATTCAATTCAGTTGTATTTGTATAGCACCAAATCACAACAAAAGTCATCTCAGGCCACTTTACATACTAAGGTCTAGACCTTACTCTTATTATTATAAAGGAAAAACCAACAACTCCCCCTGAGTAGCACTTGGCGACGGGGGGAGGAAAAACTCCCTTTAATGGAAGAAACCACCAACAGACCCCGGCTCTTGGTGGGCGGCCTTCTGCCTCGACCGGTTGGTATAAAGGATAAAACGATGCAAAGGTCAAACCTGATTTACCTGCATCAGGATGTCCTCCATCACTGCAGGGTCATTCAGGTTCAGGGAGGAGCTTTTTGTCATCAGCTTCACTTTCCCCACTCTCTTCACAACAGGCACAATTTCTACATTGGGAATAATGAAAGAGAGAAATGTGGTAGTTACATCTTCCATCAGCACTATTTTATCTCTACGGTTTGGTGTTTAAGGTGTAAGAAAAAGTTAGCTTAGCATGGGCTTATCCTAATGGTCTTAGTACTCTTGCGTCAGTGCAGCCGCCATGTTGGTACAGGGAATAATAAATAATAAAATAATGAATTATGAAGGCAAACATGTCTGACCTAAAGTTCTGATTTTGTAATTTGCTATTACAAAACAACACACTTCACATTTCATATTCAATTTTGTTACTACTTTTACCATTTCAGTGATTTGTATAATTTAATAACAACCAACATGGCATTCTAGTTTTACCTCAAAATCATGTTCAAAAACAATTTCCTTTCTTGAAAATTCTCCCTTCAAATTTCAACTCAGTTGTGTTCTGGCGTATGTCAGACTTTTAAGGGCTTGTGTGGAAAAAAGTTCGAATGACTGGAGTGTGTCTGTTGTGTGTGTTTTGTTTGGGGGGGCAGTCATTTTAGGATGCTGGCCACAGCCCCCCTGGCCACCGCTTGGGGTCACCACTGCTGCTAGCATGGCTGCAGACTCTTGTTTCTGTTATATCTGCAGATAAAGTAAACCTGAATCTAGGGTTACAGGCTAATGGGTGATGACTTACCACTGTAGCAAATAAATGCTCTCCTCACATTACAGTTCCAGTCCTCCCAGTGTCCAGAGTGGTTAAAGTCTGCTGCCACACAGCCCTCCTTCCCCGCATTGTTATTAGGTTCCCTTGTGTCTAGGTGCCAGAACCTAAATGAGGAGTTACTTCCATCCGTCCACTTCCAGGAGTCTCTGAAAAGGCCAATCCAGACCTTTCCTCCTTGAGGTATCAGCTCCACTACCTTTATGTTTTCTGCCATGTTTCTTACACTGGCCAGGTCTGTGTAGTGAGCTCTGCAGTAGCTCTGGGCCTCCATCCATGTCATGGACACATTGATGAGGATGAAGGTCACATTTGAGCCTGAAAACAGACACAGCGAAATACTCCGCATCCAGTATTCACATTTTTATGTATCTATCACTTGTATTTTTTAACAGCCTGAATACAATGACCTTAGAATCTCTGCTAAACAGAATCACACACAGACTGTATGTTTTTCTCAAATGTAATAAACACGTGTTTTGTTTTGTAATAAATGCATGGCCTGCCCTCTTAGGGCCAGAAGGAGACACCACATCACACCTCTGTAAAAGTGTGTATATGTCAGTTTCTCTAATACTTCTAAAAAGATTTTAAAGTACTTCGTGATCTTGCGTCGGCCTACTTCCAGTGTATGAACAAACACAGTTTCTCAGGTCCTTGGTTTCTCTTCCAGTCTTGTATTTATTCAGAGGGCAGGACAAAAGCTTTGTGAGGCAGCGTTTAGTTTTTAAGCTCCAGGCCACAGTCTGAATCTGAGAACAGCTGAAAATGCTGATGATTTTACACTTTAAACCTTTTTAGCCTGGTGTGGATTAGAATTTTTATGGCCTTTATTTATTTCATTTAAGACCATTTTATTGTACTAACATCCTTTGCCTTTACCTTGTCTTTTATTTTACAGCTTTACACATGACAGTTTTTTACTAGTTTAATTTAATTACTAGTTTTATTATCATGTTATTTCTTGTGTGCTTTAGTGTAGCTGTTTGCATTTACACTTATCAGTTTGTTGTCATGTGCAAAGCACAAATTTGAATTGCACCGAGCTTTAAAGGGCATTATACAAATACAGTTTACGATACAAAAACCAAGATGCAAAGCGAAACAGACAGGACGTGAACTGTTATGGTGGTTAAATCCTCACCTGTGATATTGGCGCAGACTGCCATGAAGCGGTTTTCACATTTGTCATCGTTCCACGGTCCATGGCTGTACATCCGTGTGCAGCACCGTCCACTGCCCATATTGTTCGGTTCTTCATCTAACCAATTCCTGAACTCAGTTTCCCCGTGTTTGTAGAAACCTGTGTCAGACAGCGACCACCTCCAGCTGTTCAGGTCGTCGTACAGCCCAATCCAGGCTCGCTGAAAACGGCGTTTCTTCTTTAGTGAAATGTTTAACAGTGATAGACAGGATTTCACCTTATTCAACCTTTAAAGACGTTCATCTCAGTTTGGATGCTCTGATAAATGTACTGCCTGGTATTTGGAAATATTGGTATTGAAATATTTTCCATTTGTGTGATATTGTGTGTCCATCAAAACATTTTGTAATCATTGTTGCATTTTAAACTTAAATTGTTATTGTCACATTTCTCCTATTTCTCATAATTATACTATACTGGTATTGTTTTAAACATAAAGTCTGAACTCAACTTTGGATAAGGAGCAGTTCTGTTTTTTTTTTTTTTTACCATTGACACAGCACTGTTATTTTGCTCATAACATTTCTACCACTGCTACTACATTAGTAACATCCTGAACACAAGAGGTTTACTTCCTTTCTACTACTTAAGCAAAGGTTCGCAGTACTTCTTTCACCGATGTACGGTAGCCGACATGATGCACGCTCTGCCAGCTGTTTATACTGGTGTTGGTGGGACTGATCCAATTTCTGAGTGTTGTGCTAAAATGCATTTTGTTGTTCAGTTTAGCAACATCAACACACATTACTCAGGTCCCATCGAAAACAAAACGTAATAGTAATATATTTAGTAATAAAGTGGAACATTTAAATCAGAGCCTAATGAAAACTGCCTGCTAAAGCAGCAGATGGACTGTACTGTACCTCATAAACAATGTAAAGCAGCCATAAAACAATAATTACAATAATTTATTCAAATAAAAAATCATATATGGCTTATAATGATGCCTATCAGAGACTATTACTGAAAAGGCCTAGATGGGTGAGTGCCAGTGAATTGTCTGTGTCACTTCGAGCTACTACTTTATCAGCTGTTCTAAGAAACCTGATGTATAAATTTATCTGTCACTTGAATGGCTCTGAAAACCACATTGTTTTATTGTTGACTAACATTGCATACCGTGACATGCGATATACATCTGTACTCTGGAAATACTGGTATACTTGCCTCTTAAAAGGATAATAGTGGACTGGCTGTAGTTTTGTGGTGGGTTTTATTGTTTTTATTGTTCAGAATTGGGACCTTGAGTCTGCAATAAAGTTTCTATCTAAAAAGAGAACTCATCAAAAATGTGACAAGGAGCCTGAACCTGTTTTTTAAACGTCACAAACTGAAAAACAGCTGCAAAACCCTTTTTACATTTTACATATTATATTTTAGAATTGAGTTAATTATAATTTGTAAAGTATTTTTAATATGCAAAGTTACTCACAGCTGTATGTGAAAAATAAATGTAGTACAATACAAAGTGCAGTATTTCTCTCTGAAATGTAGTGGAGTAGAAGTAGAAGTAGCATTACACAGAAATACTAAAGTAAAGTATCTCAGAGTTTAACTGCCACCTGTGGTTTTGTGAGCTCACCGAACTGTATTCTGAGTAGTTCATTTTGCTTGGATCTGCCAGGGCGTTCAGGACGTTCACGTCGTCCTGGTTGTCTATCGTGGCCAGGTCGGTGTGTTTTTCTCTGCAGTAGCTCAGAGCTTCAGTCATGTTGTACAGGTCATAAACAAAATGGTACCGACGTTCAGTGCGTGAGGAGACGCCACACAGCCCTGCAGTGACGGACAGGCATATTGGTTTGACTGGGGATATTTGTAAACTCACATTCGAGCATATTCAGGTGTTTTATTGTTTCAATACAGATGTCATAAAATAGCAAATTAAATGATCATTTTGATCAGTACTAATGTTTATAGATCTTATCATGTTGTATATTTTCTAATCTAAAAGAATACATTATATTAAAACATGAAATATTTATAACTAATTTTTGAAAAATATATAAAACACTTGCCTGATGCCACAATGATGCTCAGAAAAACTTTTTCCATTGTTGTTTTCCCCACCTCTCTCCCTGTAGTCTGTGACTGCAGCGCAGCTGTACAAATGACTTTTGGTATTAAGTTAAGCATTATCTGCAGCTAAATCAAATTCATGCAAAATTCATAGGGAAAAAAGAATTTGCCCACCTGCTTATCGGTTGTTTTACTGCTGGCTTGGCTCATACTGAAAAGGCTGTTGTTGAAGAACAGCACCGCTTATTGAGCACATAAAGTCACCATGAATTATTATTATTCATGCAAAAAAGATGTAAAATAAGTCTGGCTCAGGGTTTATTTCCACTGTTTAAATTCTTCATTATGCACACAATTATTGTGAACTTATATCTTATAATAAAATACATTTTGGTCCTGAACACTTTGGCTGGTGGGATTTCAGTGACTGATAATTAAAGGTTTAAAAACTAAAATGATCATCAGATTAAGTGATAATGAAAAAATTGTTGGCGTGCAGACACGTGTATCTTTGTGAGGACACTCATTAACATAATGCTTTACCTAACCTTAACCATAACCTAAATCTAATTCTATCCCGAACCCTAAAACAAAGTCTTAAACCTCAAAAAGGTCTTTCAGAAATTGGGGACATTTTGAGGCAGAGTGAGGACATTTTGGCTGGTACCAGCCAAAATGTCCTCACTCTGCCTGTGGACGGCTTGTCCAGCAGGACACAGGGATTTAAACAGAGCAGTGTTTGTTTCACACGTCACAGCCCATTAGACCAAAATGAACAACCTATTTAGCTACTTTCTTTATTTGCCTTACAAAAACAGGCTACTGTGTTAAAACGACTTAAACTCCTGAGCAAGAGGAAAATAAACCCTCTAAGGACACATGGACCGTCCCAGCAACACTTTTTATCTGATTTGCGTTATGCTCTTTCAATGTTTACTGTATTTGCTGTTATTTTATTTATCGATTTGTTTTTGCCGTTCGATGTAGTAGTGTTGTGTTTATTTATACAGGCTATGCCTAATCGATTCTTGTTTTGATCTTGTCTTCCTTGTCTAATAAAGCACACACAAAAAAACCCACGTCATGGTACGGTCGACGCATGCGCACGTCGTTCACTTCCTGCTTCCTGACAGCTGCACAACAACAGGAGAGAAACCAATTCGCGCAGCTGGATGTCCTCCAGAATCGGTGTTTTATGGCATTTGCTGCGTCCACGTGTCTCCATGCGCGCTCTCGTGTATGTGTCGCTCTGCGTGTGGCTGCTGAGTGACGCGGAGCCTCACCAGTTCACCGAGGGGGAGATGTCTGCTGCCAGGTAAGGACAGGTGTCACTGCGCAGGTGACGCTCTCCGCCCGGCTGTAACGTTACCTAGAGTAGTTACATCAGCTCCACCTTTAGCAGCTGCAACATTAGGAATGTTTGCACAGTAATAGTCATTTAATTTGTTCTGAAATTGCCCATTCTATAATATTAGTTTAGCTTTTAGTAACTTAGGTATATTTTGATTCTAATGCGTTGGTACCCAGCCCTGTCCAGGGTGGACAGTGTCAGCTGGGACTGGCTCCGCGACCCTCAGGATATAGAAAACAGATGGACGGACGATAGTACTTTTACTGGAGTAAAATCGTGAATGTAACTTGTCCTTGTACAGACATTAGGAGTCCGTTCATAAAATAAAATCACATTTGCTACTGGAAGTGACAAAACTAAGCACTGGTGCAGCTTCAGCTGTGACACTGGACACGCACAGTTTAGTGCTTTAGGAATAAACAGACGCAGGTTGATTCTGTCTGGAAAGGAGAAAAGAGAAGAACCGGCTTCGCCTAGAAATGTCAAATGACACTGTGACCTGCTTGTTCCAGGCAGCGCATCAAATCCATGTTCTACCACGCCTACAACAGTTACCTGGACAACGCCTTTCCCT